ACTTATTCACCTGTAGTGGATGCAACTACCTTTAGATATTTAATCAGCTTGGCAGTCTCTAAAAATTTAGAGATGCGTCTTATGGATGTTGTTACAGCTTACTTGTATGGATCACTTGATAGTGACATCTATATGAAAATCCCTGAAGGATTTAAAATGCATGAAGCATTAAGTGCAAAACCCAAAGAAATGTACTCTATAAAATTACAAAGATCTTTGTATGGGTTAAAGCAATCTGGGCGCATGTGGTACAATCGTTTAAGCGATTATTTGACAAGTAAAGGTTATAAAAATAACACTATTTGTCCATGTGTATTTATTAAGAAAACAACATCTGGATATGTGATCATAGCAGTCTATGTTGATGATCTAAACATCATTGGAACGAATAAAGAAATCCTTGAAGTGATTGAACTTTTAAAGAAAGAATTTGAAATGAAAGATCTTGGAAAAACCAAATATTGTCTTGGTTTACAGATTGAGCATATGCCTAACGGAATACTTGTGCATCAATCAAATTACACAGAAAGAGTCTTGAAACGTTTCAATATGGAAAATGCAAATCCTTTAAGCACTCCAATGGTTGTTAGATCATTAAATATTGACAAGGATCCATTTCGTCCATGCGAAGAAAATGAAGAAGTCCTTGGTCCAGAAGTACCATACCTTAATGCAATTGGAGCTCTTATGTATCTTACCAATTGTACTAGACCTGACATTTCTTTCGCTGTAAACTTGCTAGCAAGATTTAGTTCAGCCCCGACAAAAAGACATTGGAATGGAATCAAACATATTTTTCGATACCTTCGAGGAACTAGTGATTTAGGGTTATTTTACCCTAACAATTCAAAACAAGGCTTGATTGGTTATGCAGATGCAGGTTATTTGTCTGATCCTCATAAAGCTAGATCTCAAACTGGATATGTATTCATGAATGGAGGTACTGCAATTTCCTGGCGTTCTCAAAAGAAAACACTTGTTGCCACATCCTCAAATCATGCTGAAGTAATTGCACTAAATGAAGCTAGTAGAGAATGTACATGGTTAAGATCGATGACACAACTAGTTTTAACTTCATGTGGACTTGAAAAGGATATATGTCCAACTTTAATTTATGAAGATAACTCAGCATGTGTCACTCAAATGAAAGAGGGATATATCAAGAGCGACAGGACAAAACATATACCTCCAAAGTTTTTTGAGTACACTCAAGAGCTTATAAAGAACCATCAAGTTGAAATCAAATATGTTCAATCCAGTAACAATGCAGCAGACCTTTTTACGAAGGCACTTCCTACTGCAATCTTCAGGAAACATGTCCATGGCATCGGAATGCGACATGTGCATAGAATATAATGTGACGGATGTCTAAATAAGGGGGAGTCAACTATACACTGCACTCTTTTTCCCTTCGCTAAAGTTTTTTTTCCACTGGGTTTTCTTTAGCAAGGTTTTTAATGAGGCAGTACGTCAAAGTTGAATGCTAAAATGATGTCATCCAAGGGGGAGTGTTGTAAATAATTGGTGGTGTTGTAAATAATTGGTGGATGACATAATAATTGGTGCATGGCAAATTTGTCAACATTTCTAACTAGTTACAATTATATGTTAGTAAAATTTGTAGTATAAATACCCCTCCATTGTAAAGAATGAAACACACCAATTTGAATACTTGATATAAGTTATCAAATTCTCTCCAAATCTCCTTTCTTCTTTCTTAAAGGTTCTTAGTTTAGTTTTACTAATCTTGTTTTAATTACATCAAATTTATAACATATATATATATATATATATATATATATATATATATATATATATATATATATATATATATATATAACAGCTCTTATCATAATATTTGATAAATTGAATTCTCTCTCACCAGATACACACCATCCAATATTATAGAGTAAATTACACCAATGGTTCCTATGGTTTGGGGTAATTTGCATATTTAGTCTATAACTTATTTTTTAAACTCGGAAGGTCCCTACAGTTATTTTTTTGTTAATTGTTTGGTCCCTACTGTTTGTTTTTGTTACGCGTTTGGTCAATGTCTTACCTAAAAAGACTATTATTTAAATAGAGCAAAATGGTATGGTTAGTAATATAAGGTGAAGGGGTAGGGTTGGAGGTGTGTTTATTTAAATAAATTATAAAATCAATGGCAAAATAATATTTTTAGGTAAGACAGGGACCAAACGCGTAACAAAAATAAAAAGTAAGGACCTTCCGAATTAAACAAATAAATTAAGGACCAAATATGCAAATTATCCTAACCCATAGGGACCATTCGTGTAATTTACTCAATAGTATATATTGCATATCCGGCTGCAAGACCACATCTACTGTCTAAAGAATAATTTCAAAAGGATTATGTACCAACATGTCACTAAAATCTTTTGAAAAGATTTTCATTGATCTTTTTCTTTACACTATATTAATATTTACACATTTTTCAAATACTTTGTGTTTAGTAGTTGTTTAAAAAATTTCGACTACAGAGAATTTATAAGCACGGGTTTGTTTTCATGAAAATACATTTATACGCTTATTTTTTCAACTCGTGGATCTATTTAAAACTTTTTATCTCTATGTCTAAAAATTGTCATAGATAAAACTGTAGAATCATCAAAACTTTATTCCATATCATTACTTCATTTTTAATCAAAAATTATATATATTTAATAAAAGTTTTCAAATATTCTAGTTTATATAAAATATAATCAAATAGTTTGCTATTTTTCTTCATTTTTAAATAATGAACTTCATCTTTGGAGACATCAAACTACAAACGACTAACACTAAGACAACATAAAGATTCAACATTTGCTAAGTTTTTATATGCTAAATCAGATCTGACAATCACAAGCCTTTCCCACAGTAACCTCTCGACCAAATACTTTGGTGACTAAAATACTCGAATCTAGTTATTACTAATTTTCTCAAACAGAAACTTTATCATAATACACTATCATCTTTAACTAAACAAAAACCTGCGATAAATTAAGTAAAAACAATACACATTAAACAAAAATGATAGATCACATGTATGTTTCTCTAATCTAAATGGTTATATGGTTTCAAAGAAAATAGTTTTATAAAGAAAAAGAGAGATAGGGTTTAGAAAGAGAAAGAAATGTGTCCAATGAAATACTATAGAAATAGGGAAATATGTATGAAAACTTTATTCTTACCAGATCCAAGACACATTTACCCCTCACTCTTCTATAACCATTTCTCTCTCTTCCATTTGATTTCATACATCTAAAAAGTTGTAAACCTGACAACTTAAATATGGAATTCCCCTCTTTAATTCAACAAAATTTATACCCTACACACATCCGACTAATAAAAATCAGACCAACACAAATCTTACAGTAAAGAAAAATGGAATGGTAATGACAATAAAAGACCCAAAATAAAAACCAAGACCTGACCTACAAACACATTTGGTCAAAATCTTTCAATATGTTGTTTTTTCCCACTCTATTATACATGAAAAAAATTTGTTGAAAAATAGATATCGTTACAATAAATCCAAATCCTGATGCAAAATCAGTTACTTTGCTCCATATATCCTATAAATACATAACCAAATGTCTAGAAAATTGAAGAAAAAAAATAGTTAGCTCCAGATCTGGTCAGTATTCGAACAAACACTTTAGTATATTTTAACTAATCTTCAAGTTATCTGGTTTATGTGGGCTTTTGGTCAGAATTTGAAGATCTGCAAAGTTTAAAACAACAAAAATACAATACCACCGATCAAAACTAATATATTTCATAAATAGAAAACTTCTATTGCATTGTAGATTTTGGGACCTATTAAAAAAGAAAAAACACAAGAAAAAAGAAATATGACCTGTTAAAAAGTTAAAGCGCGAAGAACGAACACCAATAGTGGTTTCTTCATCATTCTCGGGATGGTTTGTTGCAGATTTTCAGACCTGTTAGAAAATCAAATATGTTCTAAAGATTTATATAGAAAAAATACCAAAAATCAAACCAAATAATACCGAAACACATAACATAATAGGTTAAAACACACGAAAACCCACAAATCATGCCTGTTGGAAGTCTTCGAGCTCATTTAATCCCTAACACGTGAAATCGAAAGAAACAACATGTTGACACACACTACAAAGTGAAGGTGATGTTGACTCCTAATCCACCGATGACGTAGATCGGTGGTAGTGACGTAGATTAGTGGCTGAAAAAGGAGGATGGTTGGATAACATGTATTCGAAGATGGTGAAGCAGGAATGACTGAGGATACAGATCGAACAGCGATGGTTGGGAGGAGGGTCGGGAAAAATGGAGCCGACGATGGGTGCGGCTGGAATGAGAGAGCGACTGAACCTAATGAATAATTTAGGGAATAAAAAATTAGGGCAAATTATGTATAGGAGTGTTCATCCGTGTGTAGAGAAGTTTGGATATTAAATACTCTATTTTGATTGGCTGTAAGCAAGTCACATGGATCACCATTGACTATAATCCACACCATCCAATGAAAATTCAAGGGTCCAGATTTTATTTTCTTGATTTTTAAGAGAAATGTCTTAAATTTAAAAGGCCCCACATTTATAAATGCTTTATAGAATGGTATATATATATATATATATATATATATAAATAATTATTTTTTTTAATATGAACAAGGATAAAAGTGTAATTGTTTTTGTTGGTTTTCTTCTTATTTGAACTGTCAGACACCCTCCTGCAAATTCAAAAGGAAGATGGCACAGGCAAGGAGTATCCTTTGGGAGCTGCCCTTAAGGCCACCAAAAATACTTTGATTCAAGGCAGTACAAAACACTTATTGTTAGATCATTTTTTATTCCACTCTCATAGATACATACATACCATGAGTATTATTAATTATTTGCTATTGATATTGTACAACTGACATGATTATTGTGTAGGTTTCCGTGTTGATCTTGATCAAGAATTGGGATTGATATTGAAGCTAAGGGACATGATGATTGGTTGGATACATGAAGGGTTTCAGAGCTTCTTCAGATAGCATAATGATGAGTTACTATTTCTCTCTGGACAAAATGTTAATGTTAATGTTCATGTTGTACAACAACACCAACAAGAGCTGCAGCAGGAGATGTTGCAAGGTGACAAGGTCCCTGTTGGGGTTGTACTTGTGATATCCCAGCCATCTGTTTTCATTGAAAGATAAGCCAACGCAAGAGTTACCTAGGCGAGGCAACAACTGCTTTTCTGTTTCTATCTTTTATATTTATATTTATTTTCATTATCATGACTTGTACATGTTACTTTTCAGAAAATCGGGTCCTCATTGTCATCGTCGGGTGGTGGTTATGCTTTTGATCCTGCTGAAGTGCGTCACACCTTTAGAGCAACTGGGGAAAGGTTCTTGCAACTAAAAACAGTTATGTATTTTGAAATCCATGAATGTAGGACTTTCATTTGTTCATGTTACAACATTATACTTTATGAAAAAAAAAGTATCTTTATGACAATGTATCATACTTAATTTTTTTTTTGTAGCTAAACTTGATTTGTTTGATAATGTGTCACAACTGAAAGCTCTTTTGTTTCAGCTAATGTTCAAGTCATTACTTGCCATCCCTTCCCCGCGGACAGCAGCCCAGTACACCAGGTGGCAAACCAATGATATGGAGGATTTTTATAACATAGTATCTGAAACAAGAAGGTGTCCATTTATAACAATGTAGTATTAGGTTATATAGTTAGGGAAAACCTCTTAATAACAATGTACAATCAGATCCGCCTAATATCAATGTATTATAATTTTTTGACATGATGTTATTATAATAATAATAATAATAATAATAATAACAACAACAACAACAACAACAACAACAACATTAATAATAATATGCATCTGCATCTTGTTGTGTTGACACCTAATTGGTGTTTGGTTGGTTTATCAGACACTTTTAAGCTGCCAGACAACAAATACAGCAATGGATATCTCCAGCAAAATTATTCAACCGACTTCATATGTGTTATTGCTTATGGACAAAGTTAATTTATCAGTAATACTGAGTGTTCCCAGAATGTGAGATGAATAAAATATGTTGATGATGGCTTACTTTTATTTACAGGGTTTATATGGACCGATGTCCTCCTTATGGATGAAGTCTTACCAGAGGCTGGTCTACAAGATTTTTTTTTGAGGTCATCATCTATACTCTTTAGTCTTTACTATGTATCTATCTATAAAATGTTGATGGGTTCAGGTTTGCTTGTGTTGTTGTCAGTGAGTATGTTGCTAACTCTTTTACCCATCTTCTTCATGAAATTTCTGGTTTGTCAGTCTCTGTATATATATATATATATTATATATATATATATATATATATATATATATATATATATATATATATATATATATATCTATATATATATATATATATATATATATATATTCAAGAGAGAGAGAGAGAGAGAAAGAATTTTTTTTTTAATATGAACAAGGATAAAAGTGTAATTGTTTTGGTTGGTTTTCTTCTGATTTGAACTGTCAGACACTCTCCTACAAATTCAAAAGGAAGATGGCACAGGCAAGGAGTATCCTTTGGGAGCTGCCCTTAAGGCCCCCAAAAATACTTTGATTCAAGGCAGTACAAAACTCTTATTGTTAGATCATTTTTTATTCCACTCTCATACATACATACATACATACCATGAGTATTATTAATTAGTTGCTATTGATATTGTACAACTGACATGATTATTGTGTAGGTTTCCGTGTTGTTCTTGATCAAGAATTGGGATTGATATTGAAGCTAAGAGACATGATGATTGGTTGGATTCATGAAGGGTTTCAGAGCTTCTTCAGACAGCTTAATGATGAGTTACTATTGCTCTCTGGACAAAATGTTAATGTTAATGTTAATGTTAATGTTGTACAACAACACCAACAAGAGCTGCAGCAGGAGATGTTGCAAGGTGACAAGGTCCCTGTTGGGGTTGTACTTGTGATATCCCAGCCATCTGTTTTCATTGAAAGAGAAGCCAACGCAAGAGTTACCTAGGCGAGGCAACAACTGCTTTTTTGTTTCTATCTTTTATATGTATATTTATTTTCATTATCATGACTTGTACATGTTACTTTTCAGAAAATCGGGTCCTCATTGTCATCGTCGGGTGGTGGTTATGCTTTTGATCCTGCTGAAGTGCGTCACACCTTTATAGCAACTGGGGAAAGGTTCTTGCAACTGAAAACAGTTATGTATTTTGGAATCCATGAATGTAGGACTTTCATTTGTTCATGTTACAACATTCTACTTTATGAAAAAAAAAGTATCTTTATGACAATGTATCATACTTAATTTTTTTTGTAGCTAAACTTGATTTGTTTGATAATGTGTCACAACTGAAAGCTCTTTTGTTTCAGCTAATGTTCAAGTCATTACTTGCCATCCCTTCCCCGTGGACAGCAGCCCAGTACACCAGGTGGCAAACCAATGATATGGAGGATTTTTATGACATGGTATCTGAAACAAGAAGGTGTCCATTTATAGCAATGTTGTATTAGGTTATATAGTTAGGGAAAACCTCTTAATAACAATGTACAATCAGATCCGTTTAATATCAATGTATTATAATTTTTTGACATGATGTTATTGGATGAAAGTGATTTTTTTGGTATATATTTGTTTCTATATTTTTGTATTATGCGTAAAAGAGTAGCGTAAAGGCACGTCGTTTAGCATATTGTAAATGGTTGCTGAAGTTTTTGACACGCAAATGCGTGTCATCTTCATTTATGACAGGGGCTTTAATGATACACAATGTGTGTCCTAAACGCGTGTCGTAAGGTTACGACACATAAATGTGTGTCGTCTTCCTTTATGACAGGGCCTTACTTGATACGCATTGTGTGTGTAAATGAGCATCGTAAATGCGTGTCGTAACTGCGCATCTTAAATGCGTGTCGTAAATAGATGACGCACAAAAGCTTGTCGTCTTTCGTTATGATAGGGCCATCCTTGACATGCATTTGCATGTCGTCTGAGCGTTTTATGACACGCATTGGGTGTCGAAAAAGTTTGTTTTTGTAGTAGTGATAAATGAAGTTTCACAACAGGAAAGGCAACATATGACGTCCCAAAACATCAATTAAAATTTAATTTTAAAACCATCAAAGTATATATCATGTTTCCCAAAAGCCAATAATAACATATAATTTTCTCAACATCATAGTCGAATCAACATAAAAAGTGTGTTCCCCAAAAAACCGTAAGCACAAAGCTTAGTGAGTGTTCCCCAAAAAACCACATATCATACAAGTAATGGGCCCAACCCATCGTATATGCATTCGAGCCCAGCCCATTCATCCGGACCTAACCCTTGAAATAGGGCCCAACCCACATACTCAGGTTATGAACAATAATTTGGTAATGTAAAAATGAAAATTTTGGTTTTAAACTTCAAGTGTTACATGTATATTCACCTTCTCCGTACCAGAGTAAAGCCACTTCACCGTGTTCGTGACAACACCGGCAGATCAATCATCCAATCGAATTCAATCCAAGATGTTGATTCTATCTTTTAATCATCTAATATAGATCTTGTTTCTTTTTCACTTTTAAAACAATTCTAAGAATACACAAAAAAGGAGACATTGGAGAAGTTCAAAGCTCAAAATTAAAGATGGAACATTTATTATCAAAAAAGCTCCAAAGTTCACCTCCAAGAAACATCAAATGAAAAGTGGAAGTTGAAGCATGAGTTTCATTCAAGCCACAAGACAGACACAAAAGTAAACAAAAGAAAGCACGAAGTCTCTCCAAAATCACTTCAGAAGTTTCACAACAACTTCTTCGTAAGTTTCAAAATGAAAATTGAAGTTTCACAACAGGAAAGGAAACATGTAACGTCCCAAAACATCAAGTAAAAATTGATTTTTAAAACCATCAAACTATACATCATGTTTTCCTAAAGCCAATCAAAACATATATTATTCTCAACGTTAGAGTGGAATCAACATAAAAAGTGTGGAATAAAACAACAAGGGGATGTAGTGCAATCAAGTCGAGCTCTTCCCTTTCGAACATGAAGTACCTGAAGCATGTAAACATGAAGTCGAGCTCTTCCCTCCAAGAAACATCAATAGAAAAGTGGAAGATGATGCATGAGTTTCATTCAAGGCACAAGGAAGAGACAAAAGTAAACAAAAGAAAGCACGAAGTCTCTCCAAAAATCACATCTGAAGTTTTACAACAACTAGTTCTGAAGTTTTAAATATGAAAAATGAAGTTTCAAAAAAGAAAAGGCAACATGTAACGTCCCAAAACATCGAGTAAAAATTTAATTTTAAAACCATCAAAGTATACATCATGTTTTCCCAAAGCCAATAAAAACATATAATATTCTCAACATCAGAGTGGAATCAACATAAAAAGTGTGGAATAAAACACCAAAGGGGATGCAGTGCAATGTAGTCGAGCTCTTTGCTTTCGAACATGAAGCACCTGAACCTTGTAAACACAAAATCGTAAGCACAAAGCTTAGTGAGTTCCCCAAAATACCACATAATGTACAAGTAACGGGCCCAACCCATCATACATGCATTCGAGCCCATCCCATTCATACGGGCCTAACCCTTACAATAGGGCCCAACCAACATATTCGGGCCTAAACCACATAATCGGGCCCAACCCATTTAAGCTGGCCCAACCCATACACACATGCAATAGGCACAAAGACAATCTTGCATCCTACAATTTAGTGAGAACACTCACCTCAAACGCGTCGTACAAACTATCAAGATCTCAAAGTCAAAACAGTTGATAAACACCACCTAATAAACCACACAAGGTAAACGCTTAGTCCACCAACCCAAACTGGCAAATTGACCAAAAGTCTACCAAGTCAAAAAGTCAATGGGTCAACAGTCAAAAGCAAACAGTCCAAATTCCAACTTCATCGAGTCACCACGTTGTGACCTCCCATTGGACACATTGTGGCACACAACATACAAAATAGCTGGGTTTTCTTTAGTCTCCATGTCGTGGATGCAAAGATGTCACGTTGTGAGGACCGTAACTCAGCAGATTAAGGCATTAAGTTGTTTTCTATTCAAACCAAGGGCTCCAAAGCACATATTTGGTTCTTCACACGGTCTATATGGATAAATCTTCCAACTTTATCCATGAATATACCCCAATAAGGCAAGATCCCTAAACCTAAGTCCTTAGTAACCTCTTAAGTGATGAGCCACCCATTAAGTTACTAATCACCAAAGTCACACAACCAGAGTTTAAGAAGACCATTATACTCCAAATGTATCATAAAAATCAGTTCTTTATGGACATGCATGTCCAATGCATGTCTTATCCAAAATAGCTCGAAACCATGAAAGGAAATAGCTCAAACTTGTGCATGAGTCTAAATACTCCAAGGAATCCTAGATCTAGAACACATAGCACCAAAATGACTTCAAGGATCCATAAAGTTTCCAATTTTATGGAATCCATCCATTCCTGCTTCCTTAACATGAAGAATAAGGGACAAAAGCCAATATCTTGAAGAATGCAACCTAAAGTTTTAATCATGAACTCTTACAAAGGTCCATAAGATATACTACAAGATGATGGTGATTCTTGATAGGTGAACCAACACACCAAAAGATTTTACTTCCCCTTCAAGAGGTCAAAATACTATGTATTTCTTCAAAAAAATATCGAGGAGGCCAGATCCGATTAGAGTTTGAAAATAGAGTGTTGGAGGCTGAGAATGAGCAAACTCTAGCTCACGCATTCCTTAAATAATGCTTATGACCTGAAAATTAGGCTTTTTTTCTTTAGATGTCTGCCAGGTCGTGGCCCATAGAATGCCACATTGTGGCGACCTAAATGAACCCGGATACATTCTTGACCATGCCACGTCGTAGGGGCACCTTTCCCACATCGTGGCCACTAAATTCCTAAGATAACTTATTTAAGAAATTTAATATATTACAACTCTACACCACTTGAATTAGATTTCATCCTCGAAAGTTGTCCTTACCACTTACTCTTATGACACCCTCCAAACTCCCTTAATAATCAAGGCATCCAAAAAGAGAATTTGAGAGACCACTCGGAACCCGACCGACTTCATCGAATAACTATTCATTTGAAAGTACTCTCTCATAACTATATTACTCTTCCCCAACTGAAGACACAAACTATAACGAAGAACACTCAACCCGGAAAGTCAGGGGTTGCACAATAGTAGAAAAAATAAAAATTTTAAAAACTTTTCCACTGTGTCCGGAATAGTCAGGGGTTGTCAGTGCCACCATGGACCCCCCCCCCCCCTAAAAATGCCCTTGTATTGTGGATGAGGAGGGATTAGTGATTTTAATCCGAAATTGTTCATTGGAAGCTAAAGGGACAAAATTGGTAAAAGTAATATTTCAGGCTTCTTTCATAAATTAAGGATTTTAGTTTGACAAGTTTTTAGTCCAAAGTAACTACATAGAGTTGTGGAGCTCATCGATACCTTTGCATGGATATAAAGATCACTAAAAATAGAGTTTAAACAAAGAAGTTATGGTCATAGAAAAGCTATGCAAGGTGTAGAAAAGCTATGCAGGCATAGATGCAGAATTCTTAACGCGATATTAATGATCTATGCATGGCTTATCTTATGCTACGTGGTGCATAATCGTTGCAGACGAAAACCCTTAATCTAAGGTTTTGAGCCCTACTTAAGGACTCTAACTCCTTGAGACCATCCCCATACTCCGCCTCCACCCTCCTAAAACAATCCCTCAAAACCCTAGCCTCCATTTCCCCTCTCGTCCTTTCTTTTGCTTCTTATGGGTGCCATTTTGGGAGTGTGCAAGGAATTTCACCATTCTTGGAGCTTGTGTAAGTGTTTGTGGAAGAGATCTAGCTTTTTGTCCATCTGTGGACTTGTGTAAGTAATCAAGCTTCCAATTTTGTGATTCAAGCTTTCTAGATCTTGCATATTATGGTCTTTGAGTCCCTTTTTGTGGTTTTGGTTGGAGTTCAAGGAAGAACTCTAGATAAAGCTTGCAACTTTATCATTATTGAATGTCTTTGGAGTGTTCTATCTTGTGGATCTAGACTTTGGACTTAGAAAGTTGTGCTTTGGTGTTTTTTCTTTAAGCCATGCGAGTTGTGTTAGCATTTTTGGTCATTTTAATGCATAAAGTTTAGAACTTGAGATTTTGTGACATTGTTATGGATAAAGTTGGAAACTTTATCCATCTAAAAATCATGTTTATTCAGATCTGAAAGTTGGAGAGTTGGACTTAATTGTGACAACCAAGAAAAACTTTGTCACTAACCACCAATTGGAAAGAGTAGGAAAAGATAAATGTAATAGCTTAGATTTGTAATATTTAATTTTTATAAATTAATATAATCAAATATAGTGTTACATTTACAATTAAAATCGACCGATAGGCTCAAAATTAGCGTTTAAAAAGCCGTGTCGTCTTTTAAAATGATTGA